ATGATAGTCGATGATAGTTGAAGCGCGCGCTTCCGTTTGACCACCAACTATCATGCACTATCATCGACTATCACCAACTATCATTCATTTTGAGCTTGTTCAAATTCTTCATGATAGTCGATGATAGTTTTTCTCGTTTGACCACGCGTATGATAGTTCATGATAGTTTTTGGTCAGCTGTTTTCCCCGAAAATCGGCGGACTCGTTTAAAATGGTCGCCAAAAGCTCCTCGCGAGGCTCAGCTTTAGCTTCAGAAATTCGTTTTTATACCCAAGATAATAATAATGAGAAAGAAAATACTGAAAACCAAGAATCTGGAGAAAGCGTTAACTCGCAGGAATTCGAAGAGACATCGCCGAAAAAACAGCGTTTCACTAAACGTTCAACGGTGAGATGGAGTAATGACCTGATATTACGTCTAATAGACGTACATTCCTCCAACAAATCGATTACTAGTAAGCAAGTTGCCGCCCTCTTTCGTCGTAAATTCACACTTGAACAAGTTTGTTTGCCTCACGCGAAGCCATGTTAGTGTTCACATCTTACGCGGAAAGAGCCTGGAACTAGCTGCTCGCGTGACTTTGCTCGCGCGACTGCCGTTGAACTATCATCAACTATCACGAACTTTTGTGGCCGTTTGACCATGCGAATGATAGTTGGTGATAGTTGATGATAGTTTGAAGAGAATCAACTATCATCGACTATCATGCGCCGTTTGACCAAGGCTTAAGGCCTACCTAACTTGAGAATATGAGCCGAATCGATTTTTCGGCTGTTGCCACCATATTTTGAAAATGTTCGATTTTTGGCGACATTTCCTCTTAAACAAGAAAAAGTGACTTAACATTTATTATAACATAACCAAAGTTAAGTGGAACGTAGGTGTTTGTTGTTTGTTGGTGTTTGTTTGTGTGTTTGTTTGTCGGTGTTTGGTCACTACGCGTTCCTAATTTACACCTGCGAAGGTTGTTATCCAATCACATTTGAGAAATTCATTTGATACTACATGTATTTTGCCTGTCGCCGCTGATGCTGCAAGATAGTGGAGAGCGGATACAGTTTGTGAGGAGCTAGGTCGAGCAGGTTAAGTGCGACACACGTGAATATGAAGCTATTTGTATCGATAGCTAGGTGCTTCAACTGGCAAAATTAAAAAATGAGGAAAGAGGTCAGGCATTAGACCCTGGTCACTGAATTTCTCTGAGTCTGTTAGGAGCCCCAATCACTATTGGTAAGTAATATGTCCGCTCTGATGCAAACTGCGAAGAAATTTACCTTTTTCCTGCGTGGCTAAAGAGACTTGTCGCTTTTGGACATGATAAAAGCTTGAAAACAACAGTTGTGCTCATTCAATTAAACATGTAGTTCTCAACTAAGTTTTGGCAATTTTCTTATCAAAACGCCGATGAAAATACTAATGATCTATTGCGTGTTTTAGATCTGACGTCACTAAACAATAAGCACTGAATACTTCATATCTCCTTGAGAAGATGAGTTGTGAGTCACTTAAATTAATTCTACTGAATTCGATTTTCTCGAAAAGTTCTAATTTATGGCAATTAAATTGTTGCCAGTAAAGATCCAAAGTTGTCAAAAGATTAGAGCGTTGCGGCTGGGGGGGCTGGACAAGTTATTTTGTCTTTGCTCTGAGAGGAAAGAGATGCGCCATTACTGACCATTTCAAAATACTTATCTAACTTGGATCACAATGTGACATTAAATGAATACTATCATCCTCTATAAAGTTCTTCAGTTCTAAACTAAGTTTGAAAAATTAAGACCTGATCATTTTTAACTTATCCATAAGTTCTTG